AAATTTTGCTTAAATATTGTGAACCTTTCCTTACAGTTGCTCTGTACTTTTAAAGTACCAACTATTTTTTAATCCCTTTAACTTTTTTATTTTATGTTATTTATTTGTTTACTTTTTCACTAACAGTACATTTTAGTTTTAATAATATATATATTATTTCATAATATTTAAGGCTTCTAGAAACACAAAATTTTTTTTTTAAATTTATTTCAGCTTCTATGGAATTCGTGATATTCATAATATGCATTATAACCTTACTTATCTAAAATTCCATATCAAATCCAAAACAAACAATACTCGCTTAAAGCGGGAAAAATTCAGATGTTCAGTGTCGTAACTCGCGAACTGCTTGCGCCAAAAATATTACAGTGACACCTAGCGGCGGAAAATGAAAATATTTTACGCATACGCAGCAGTGGAAACGCTTGTACGGATGCCGTAGGCGTGTCTTCAATTGATGCAACGCGTTCGTACGCAGTAGTGGAAACGAGCCTTTAACCCTTAATAGTTCAGGTAATCGGGTCCACCAACAGAAAAATTTAAAAGTGGACTAATTGAAAAACTAAATATGTATAAAATGTGATAATTATTTCCAAAACGAATTTCTGCCCCTTTTTCAATAATTTAAACCTCTCTAATAAATTCAAATGCTTTTATCCGAAATAAATTTTAGGAATTCGCATTTTTCACAATTCTTTGTTTATCCTAAAAGTGCAATATCAGTGTCTGCGTATTTTCTTTTCTTTGTCTCTTTATTCATTTCTTTGTAGCAGAAAACTGCATTGTTTAATCTTCGGTAAATTGTAAGACTGTGTTCAGTTTTGGGATCAACTTCTATAATTTGCTAGGACAAAATTTAAACCATTCCTATGATTTTAACTATTATTCAACTGTATATTTTTGTACATGGTCTTCAACACTGTCGCCGCTGTTTAAGTTGTCTTCTTGTTCTACGTACCTAAGCCCGGTGTTCATCTGGGTTAATAAATGTTCCATAACTTTCATAAGAGTTCCATAATTTACATAAATGCTCCATCCATTCGATATGATGAACTGAATTACTTGACGGAATCTTATTCAGTGAGATCAATTTGTTTTCCAGTTTCCACTATGTTATAATTTACTTTCTAGTGCTTTCAGCAAAATGAGCGTGTAGAATCATTAGAAGAATATTTTTTTAAAAAAAGGAGACGTAAAAAATGTGCAGGGACTCGAACTCTGTTCATCTCGAATACGTGTCGACTGTTCTAGAATTACACCGATGGAGGGTTAAAATACCCTATAAGTTTCAAAACCATTGAAGATATTTGTAGACAGTACAACGTGGCACGATATGTTTTCATACTGTTTGTCATTACTTCATGCCATTCAATAACATTCACTCTATGACAAAATTTCAAAAACGCGATCAGAACTTAGATTTTGTAAAATCAAAGTTCTTACATTTGTTTCCATTAATGTTGAAATACAGAATATTAACATGAATTAGAATAGTTACTTAATTTACTGAACAAGTGTTAATATCATTTCAACTTACTGTGCTTCAGTAATTGCTGTATATAAAAATACGAATGATTTAGGTCAATAAGGTACGTGATTTTGCAATATTAATTCACTGCATCGCTGATTAAGGTTGAAAATCTCCGAAATAATAAACACATAAGAAAACCCAAAAATTTCTAGTCTGATATACTTCTAAAAAAGAAAAGAGCATTTTAATACTTTATAATTTTTATTAGGAGATAGTATCTTATACTTATTTATTTCCTAACATAAACATGAAGTATAGAACAAGCAAAAAGACATTTATAAATACAAAAACGTAAGTGATGCCATTCACAAAAAGGGTAATGTTATTTTTAATAGTTCGCTGGCTTTGCCGCAACATCCTCCCCACCCTGGTCAACCTCCAGGGCGATGACCAGCTGCACAGGTCGGGTAATGGTATGTCCATTGGTGCGCAGAACACAAGTACGGACTTTTTGTCGCGGCCAAGGATTAGCTCCTGAACACGGGCCTTCTTCCAGGTGTGGCGAGGTTTAACATCTTCTTGTAGTAGGACAATGTCCCCTTTCCGTATTTTATTTGTTTCAGATGGATTCCGCATTTGATGAAATGTACGCAAGTCCATCAAATATTCCTTTTGCCATCTTTTCCAAAAGGAGTCCATCAAATGTTGACGATTTTTCCACATATGATTTAAATTTGTTTCAGGATTTGTGGGGCTGGAAGGAATAGTGGTTAATTTCTTTCCTATGAGGAAGTGCGAGGGTGTTAAAGCTTCCTCAGAGTCATCTTTTATTCCATATTCGTGGACAATCGGTCTACTGTTAAGAGCGGCTTCAATATCACATAATACAGTGATCAAACCAGCGTCATCCAAAAGAGCCTTACCTAATGTTTTCCGAAGGCATCGCTTAATTGAGCCAATCATTCTTTCCCACCATCCCTACCCACCATCCTCCCCACCAAGCCGCTCGGGGGCGATGAATTTCCATTTGATGTTGTGGTGGGCATAAAACTGTTGTGCCTTGGCAGAGGATATAGTATCCCACAATAACTTCAGCTCTTTGTCCGCAGCGCAGAAAGTTGCGCATTATCAGTGTACACTGTATGAGGAAGTGAACGTCTAGAGACAAAACGTTGTAATGCAAGTAGGAAGACGTCAGTCAGTACGCAGATCGGAAACTAATTCTAAGTGGATAGCTCGAGTTGTAGCACATGTGAAGATGACAATGTAAGCTTTTGTAACGGAGTTATTATTTTTTACGTAGAGTGGTCCAGCAAAATCAATTCCGGTAGTTTCGAAAGGAGATGACTTTTGAATTCGCTCAGCAGCTGGTAATGGAGCTTCTATCTGTTCACTTCTCTTTTGTTTCAGTACTTTACATGGAAGGCAAGTCTTTATCACCTTTTTAATGGCTTGTCTTGCTCTTAATATCCAATATTCTGAACGAAGCTGAGAAAGTACAATCCGAACACCGAGATGATGCATTCGTAAATGTGTTTGGCGTATCAGTAGGCTTGTAAAATGATGAGAACCTTCCAATAATATGGGATGTTTTTCAGCATGAGATAAATCAGAAAATTGTAGTCGACCACCAAGAAGTATAATATTGTTCTTGAAAGAAAGGGTTAAATTGTTTTATCCTTGATTTCTTAGGGAGTGATTTTCCTGTCAACAGAGCTTCATATTCTGAAGGAAAGGATTCTTTCTGAACGGTCTGTATCCAATAAATACGAGCTTGATTCAGTTCTGTGGCATGTAACTCACCCACTAACTTTTCTTGTTTCCTACAGTTGTGAATAAAGCGAAGAATCCAAGATGTTACACACGTAACAATCGAACGTAAGAACTGTAGTTTCCAGCCTTTATGATTGGTTGAGTAGATACGATGTGAAGGGTCTGAACTTTTCTTTTTCTTTCTTTGCCTCGAAGTTATGACTGTAATCTTTGAGAAATAGTATCAGAATGAGGCCAATATTCTAGAGATTTGACTAACCATGGAGGGCCGTTCCACCAAATTTCCAGGTTTTTTAGTGTTGATGGTGAAACACCTCGAGAAAGTTTGTCAGCTGGATTGTCTTTGCCAGGGCAAGTGTCTCCATTGTGAAGGATTGGTATAGGAAATAATTTCTGTTACTCTGTTGCTAACAAAAGTTTTCCATTTGTTGGGGTCACTGCGTATCCACCCTAAGACAACTTGAGAATCACTCCACAATGTTGCATTTGACGAACAGATGTTTGTTTCAGCACAGAAATATTGCAACAATCGTGCTCCCATCAGGGCCGGCCAAGAGCTCCAAACGAGGTAAGGTAACTTTCTTTATAGGAGCTAGTTTGTTGCGACTACACACTAAATTCACATTCGATTGGTCACCTTTAAAGGTAACAATGTACAGAACTGAACCATAGGCACGTTCAGATGCGTCACAAAACACATGAATAGCAAAAGGAACATGTGATGAAATCCCTATGCATCGAGGAATTTGAAGGGAGCAAATGTCATCAAGTTCTTTCACAGCTGCATACCATAAAGTTGATAAATTAGCAGGTAGTAATTCATCCCACTTGATTCCAAGAATCCATGTATCTTGGAATAAGATTTTCCCAAGAATAGTAAACGGTGAAAAAAGGCCTAAGGGATCATAAAAACTAGCAATGCAATGCAGCGGAGTAACCATCTCTTTGTAAGTGGTTTGTCTGTAAAAACACAGAGGGAAGTCTTGAATGCATGCTTCAAAGTATCAGAAGTTGTATTCCAGCCAATACCTAAGACAGTTGTTTCCGTTTTGTGAGATTCTTCATGTGTTTGTAGTACATCTTTGAGTTTCAAAGAGTTTGTAGCCCATTTTTCCATAGGCAATTTTATTAGAGCCATTAAATTCTTGATCTCGTGATATAGCATTATAATGCGTGATTCAGTTTCCATACTAGCAAGAAAGTCATCCATATAGAGATGTTTATCTATCATTGGTGCAGCAATTGGAAATTCTGCGATATGTTTTGCAGCCAATTCTCGTGTCGCAGCACAGAGTAAAAACGGACTGCAAGTAAGGCCAAATGGTAAACGAGTAAATCTGTAAACAGTTATTTCATCTGTAAAAGTAGTAGGTTGAGATGAATCAGATTTTAATTTGTACCAGAAAAATTTTGTGACGTCCCTATCTTCTTTATGTAGTGACAACTGTAAAAAAGCTTGCTTACCATACCATCACATGTAACAGCGAATTCATGCAATCGAAATCTTAGTAGACAACCAATAGATTCAGGAAGAAGATTCGGGCCAGCTTCCAAGGTATCGTTCAGTGAAATCATTCCTGGAGCATGCGAAGAAGCATCAAACACAATTCTCCACTTGGTTTCAGATTGTGTTTTCTTTCTTACAGCATGATGAAGAAGGTAACTGGCTTCTCATTGGATTCATCTATGGAACAAACTTCAACATGCTTTTGTTCAATGTAATTCAGCATCAGCATGCAGTTGTCATATTGTGTCTTTAACACATCACTAGATGCACTAGATGCATTTTTTGAAGAGAATGAAATCTGTTTTCCGCTATAATTTTGTTTGTAGGCAAAGGTGTGACCAATGGTTTTCTAGGCAGAGACACAATTCTTCGATTGTCTTCAGTGTTGTAAGTTTTGTGAAATTCTGATAAAATTTCTTCATCTCGAGTAGTCATTTTTCGTTTCTGCGCATCTTGTATCCCTATGGAGTCTAATTCCCAGAAGCGACGTACCTGATCATTTAAACAATCAGTTTTAACTTGCACACAAACTTGATGGACAGAAGTCTTCTCAGCGATTGTAGTATGTGTTCTTGTTCCACTAAGAACCCATCCAAACACTGACGGTACCATAACAAAAGATTCTGAAAGCTTGATTGGAGCTTCTGTGGAAACAATTTGCCAATAATGATCACCACCAATAAGTATTTCTATGGGCAGTGAAGAGTCATCCGGAGGATCAGCAATTCTCAATCTTTTCTTCTGAGCAAAGTGAACTATTTCTGGTGGAGCAGTAGGATGTGTAGTATAGGAATTGGAGCTTTCAAATGCGGAGATCAAAAATGCTGCTTGGTTGCTCCACAAACTTGAAAGTGACAGTTGAACACATCTACGTTGTTCTTGTGAAGTAAAAGATTCAAATGCTTGAACTGAAAGTGAGGCAGAACTGACAACTTTAAGCTTCAGTTTTTCAATGAGGTTTGTGTGAACAAAACTTGCTTGGCTACCACCATCTAAAATGCAACGTGTTAATTTAGTAATGCCTGTGGGGCCAGTAACATACACACGAGCAGTTTGCAAATGTGTGAAAATTGTTTTAGGAAAGGTTATGTGATTTACAGCACTGTTAGTTATCCGCAGTTGATTGTTTTCAACAGGAGGACAAATAGAAACATGATGCCTTTTCTTGCATTTAGTGCACCGTGCAGTATTTTTTCTTGGGCAGTTTGAAACTCTATGACCACGGTTAGTACACAGAAAGCAGCGATTTGAAGTTTTAAGTTTCTGAACACGAGTATCATAGTCTGTAACAGTTTCACAATATTGAGGCCAATGTCCTGTAGTATCACAAAATGAACAAAATGGTGAAATTTTCTTACGTTTGTTTACTGTTTTGGAATTGATATTAAAATTTTCTACAGTGCACTTTACGGTGTGATCAGAAAAAGACGTACCTTTAACTCTTTGTGCTGCAACTACACCTTCCACTTCTTCTGCCAAGAACTGCATCAATCTAGTAATATTACCTTCGTTTAGTTTTTCACGCTTGGCATAGATAATCCAGCGGCAACAAATATCATTGGGGAATGCACGAATAATTTTTGGCACTAGGATTCTACCGTATGCTTCAATATTTTCACCCAGAGCAGTTAAAGCTTAAAGCTTGAATTCTTCTGTTACATTCTATGTAAAGATCATTTAGATGCTGCGTAGGAGATGGGTCTTGAATAACATTTAAATGTTCTAAGTAATCTAAGTGTGATTGGATAATTCGATCTTTATTTCCATATCTTTCCTCCAACAATTTTTTTGTTGTTTCATAGGTGTCTCCTATTACACTAATTCCATTCCATCAACAAGGCGTTTAGCTTCACCATCTAAATAACCTCTGAGGAAAACATGTTTATCAATAACAGAAAGATGTGGATTGGCATCTATAGAAGATTTAAACTGTTCCCAAAAACATTGCCACTGTTCAATTTCTCCTGTAAATGACTGTAGTTTAATTGTTGGCAATTTAACTGTATATGGTTGAGTCATAGGCACTGTAGTAGGAGGGTCGCCAATTGTCATCGCTAAATCATTGGTATCCATATTCGAAGCAGTAACATTATTTGGAGTTGGCGATAATTTATTTTGAATAATTTTTCGTGCTTTGAAAATTGCGGATTCACCAGTATCTATGTAGTTTTCACACTGCAAATTATCACTTTCATATTCATCGTCAGAAAGGAAGTTGTGAATTTCGTTATCTATTAGTTTCATATCATTTAAAGCAGTTGTTAAGCGATTACAAATATATTCAACTTTCTCAATTGAGAAATCATCGTTCAAAGTATCAATTTCAGTAGAAAAGCGAGAAACATTACTTCGCACGGCTTTCCGCTTTCGTTTCAGTTGCGTCATTTTGTCTACAGCTTCACCGGTCGGCGCCATTGCCCGAGTAGTAGAAAAAAAAAAAAAAAAAAAAAAAAAAAACTAAGTTTTAATGTCGGAAGTAAAATATTTCAACAAGAATAATCCAACAGTAGGAAGTATAAGTTCAAGGTCCTGTTTCGTAAATGGTTTTTTTCGGCACCAGATATTAGGAGATAGTATTTTATACTTAAATAAGTATAAAATTTTCCTAACATAAACATGAAGTATAGAACAAGCAAAAAGACATTTATAAATACAAAAACGTAAGTGATGCCATTCACAAAAAGGGTAATGTTATTTTTAATAGTTCGCTGGCTTTGTCGCAACAATTTTCAATATAGTCGCTTCGCTATCACATCGTTTAATGAGCAACCTGTACTATCACATCGTTTAATGGGCAACTTTGTGCCCCTGAGTAAGAAAACTGAAGGTTTACTCTTAAAGTTTTCAAAAACTGCTCTTTTTCCGCCATCATCGTCATTAAACTTCTTTTCTCGAAAATTAGATTTGAGTTTAGAGAACAGATAACAATCAGCTGCAGGTAAACTTGACTGTAAAAAAAGTAGTCATGCTACTTAAACCTACACTTTGCTGTTTCTTTAGTAACGACAGACGAATACTTGAGAAGTATTTTCACAGAAAAGATAAATTCTGCTGTTGAGGATTCCATACCTTTTCTCTTAAGTTTCATCGGTCAATTTATACAAAAGATTTACAAAATATTCAACATTAATGGTCTTGTTTCTTTCTTGAAGCGTCTGCAGAAGGATCCCTTAACAGCTCAAAAAAAAAAAAGTTATGGCCATTATCGTTTTCTTTAATTTAGTACACCTTTCCTTCTTCTTAATAGTGTTTGGCCTAGTTTTCAATATTCCAGTCGTTCCCTTTCGATTGATGATCATAAAATCTTTTTTTTTTTTTTTTTTTTTTTTTTTTTTTTTTTTTTTTTTTTTTTTTTTACGAATAGCAATCAATTATAAAAATTCCTCTAGTTTGCACTGTCAAGTTGCAGCAAATGCTCACAGCAAAGACACGTTGCTGCTTTTGAATTGCTAAAAGAAGTAGGAGTATCCATTCCACAAAAAAGTTTGTTTATGTGAAGGTGTTCATACTGAATGAGCAGAAGGATTGTCTTAAATGCATTCAATCTTTCTGCTATTTTCTTTTCTTTTAATTTTCTATTACTATCTATTCCTTGCAGGGCGACAAAAGCAATGTTTTCGGATGCCAATATTCACGAGAATGATTTTCTAGGGTGTCTCTAGCACGATGAGAAATAATTTAGTAAATCTTTCAGTGCAGAATGGGAAACGATGAATCACCATCTACATGATTCATGTGCTGCTTTATTTCTTTGGGATTAAGACCTTTAATGAAAAATTTAATTACAGAATGATACGCAGTATTTAACATTTTAGAACAAACTGACACATTATTCCCTTCAATAAATAATAATAAAAAAAAACGCAGACGATTTCACTAATGAAACTTTAAAATTTACATTTACTCCTTATGTCTTCAAGAGCAATTTATTATCAAACGAATATCTTCATCTTTGGGGGATACTTTTGCATATACCCACGTTTGCTTAGACATCTTATAGTAGACATTTTAGATTTAAAAAAGAATTAAATAGAGGGTTTCTGTACCTTTTGACGTAAATGCTAAATTTCATGTCCATCAAAACTACGCTTGAAAGTTTGAAAACTTATTCTTTATCTTTACCTTTTTAAGACTAAAAATCCCTTTGCCAAATCTTTTCCATTAGTGATAAATTTAGTTTTCAATACGAAAGGTAAACAAAATTCATTTCTTAAAATCAATTTTTTTTTCTCAAATGGATATTAAATATGCTAAATATGCTCATCATATTTGAAAAATAACAAAATATTTTGCATAAAAGAAAATTAAGTTCTTCGCAGTGCATATTAACCATAACAGAGCCATTTTCCAAGTTTTTTTTATGTTTTTCAATTTATTATTGTATTATTTTTCAGAATGATGCAGATTTCGTTTGCTCTTGATATTTCTAAAGACACAACAAGAATTAATTTGAATAAAAGTACTGTAGTTCACTCAGTTAAATCTTCCATTTTTTTTGGTAACCTTTTAATGAATTAGAAGAACATTTTTTCAAAAAACTTCCCTTATTACAGTGCATGGTCACTGTAATATGACAGAAAGTGGTATTGTTAGTTGAAATTACTATTGTGATCTGTACTGGTCCACTGAATAGTCTTCTCAGTAAATCACTTAAGATTTTCTTTTGTGTGCAGTTCAGAAGTGTTTTCCAGGCATAAAATATGGAGACTATAATAAATTTCTTTTTGTGAATTAGTCAAAGGTATTTCTACCAGCTATAATTCATTATGAGCAGAGAACGTTTTTCCTTGTTGACAATAGTAATTGAAATTCTAGAAAATTCAGTTTCAATTTTTCTTTTAGTCACGCTACTCTTCCGGACATATTGCGTAACTTTTGAAAATACAAATAACGCAATCTAGCGAGTGACACGTTCCATGCACATACGGCCTTTTAGGAGGTTACACAGGGAAATTATCGCACATAACTGATTACGAACCAAGGACACAAAGACAATCGTTTCCGGTTAGATGTTTTCCGACTACTCAGTGGTTGATTTGAAATGCAGCTTATGCAAGGTAGTCTATTTTTAAATAAACTTCCTAACCTTACAAAGCAATAATAGTTAGCGTGTATGTGTTATTCAGAATTGCTTAGTGTTTAGATCATTGAACATAATGATCTTCAAATAATATTCTTCTAATATTTTTTTTCCATTTGAAATAAAACCATTTGTACTGACGTTTTTGATGCGTATAAATACAGAAAAGAAAAGAAAAATTTAAATAACATGCCCACCAGAGAGTGTCTGATGTTCGATATTTTGCAAGCTGATGAATACACTCTTCGTACAGTTAGGGGTCTCTGAAGAACGTATGTGTAGCAATCATTTTATACATTATAATTACTCGACTGAATATGAAAACGACATCGCGTATGAACTCGAAATGAAGTGAGGTAATATGCCGTGGTCTCTTTCCCACTTTGAATTTACTTGTTTGGAATGAAACATAGTAACAACCAAAGAAGCTGTTGAACGCTGATTAAAGAATTAACATCATAAAATTACTACGTTTAATTTAAAATCGAAGATAAATTCCATTAAGAAGGAGAGAAAAATCATATTAAAAGAAGTCACTTCATTCTACGCTTGTAAATCGGTAATAAAAATATTTAGTTTAATTCAACCCAGAAGAATCTATTTTCAAACTTTTTCCTATATCGGTTTATGAAATTCTACAACTATTTCTTTATTATAACAGCATGAAATGCTAGAAAAAAATTAATATTTCATTCATGTTCCATCTACACACATAAAAAATATTAAATTTAACTATTTTTGTCGTTATAGTTTTCTGAATATATCCTCTGATCATTTTCCATCAGGTCTGTATATCGCATTTTATTTTTATTTAATAATCAGGGACAACATGTGATTACTATTTATTTGGAAAACAATCTATGCTAAATTTGTATAAAATGCAATTAAGGCAAAATATTTTCCAAAGCATTTTAAGTTTTAATGCTTAACTAATTTAATTTCTTTCAATACAGGACGAAGTTCATATACAGGAAATATATTTAAATAATCTGTAGCGCCTTGAAACAAACAAACAAATAAATAAAATTTTAAAAGTCCCAAATGTACTGTAGTGTAAATTTATGAGTCTTAAATATTACGCTTGATTTGTAGATTTACGGTTTGTAAATCCTTGGCTCTAGCATATTTGGCCCTCTAGGCGATTAGTACAGTCAGCTCCCCGTATAAACAAAACAGAATAATGCAGATACCGTTAATTTAGGTTCCTCTTGTGAAAACAACTTAGCTGGGATCATGAGAGCAGCATACCAGCACTGTTTTAGGTGCTGTTTTTTGCATATCTTAAACGGCTAACACTCATCGCACAAGGTAAATACGACACGATTATGAAATGAAAAATGTTAAAAATTATATTCCCTCGAAAACTCTTTTTAAACATCATTCCTATAACAAATGAAAGTTCTCCAGC